AGAAGCGTACACTGCAAGATGTCATGTAGCACGGATGGAGCTTCACAGGTGAGGTTTTGACCCACAGCCATATTCACCAACTGTCTGCATTTTCTGGCACCAATGATCCACTGTGGGCGGGTGTCACCATCGCCTTTCTCCAGCCGAAGGACTCACCGCGGAGCCGACGCGTGGAGCATCCGTCCTACTAGCCTCCGAAACCGCGCTCGGTGAAGGATGAAAGGGAAACATCCGGAGGTTTGAATGACATCCGTGTCATCTGGCACGGATAGCCTGGCCTGTGATCTTGCCAGCCAGCTCAGGTTGGTGCTTGGAGATCGCGGGGAAAAGCCGCTCGCCAATCATCTGCTTCTGCACCTCAACCCGGAGCAGCAGCGAGAAAGCCCTCGTCTTTTTTCCACCCAGATGGTCCAAGGCCCACACATCCAGTACATCGGGACTAAATCGAGTGATTACACCAAACAGCTTACGTGCCAAAACCGCTTGTTGAGTTGCCAGAATGGCCAAATATGGTCTCCTTCCAATCCAACGTGCCGAAAGAAATCTCCTCAGTGACCGACCCAGTCGCGACCCAAACGCTCCAGCTCCACTGGCTCCACTCACCACTGCCGAACACGTCCACTCTCACCACCCCCACCGGTCCCCAGGGGCCCTTCTTCCCCCCGAACTGCCCAGTGGCCGGTGGGGGGGCTGCAGCCAGCGCGGCCGCAGTGAGCTGTTGACCTGGACCAGGCCGGGAGACCAGATCCAAGGGGTCACCGTCTCCAGTTTCTGAAGAGTTCAGAGGTCTGAAAACGCAAAAAGGATGGTCCTTCAACCTCCCCCCTTTAGATCCTCCGAGGGGACGATGCTTTTTGGAAGGAGGACGTCTGAAGGGCCAGCGTGGCCCCCGGAGGGTCGTGAGTCCTGAGGTTCGGATGTTGAAAGGACAGCCTGTGCCGGACGCCTCCACCCGTGTTGGCCGGTGGAGCCTGTGCCGGGCCCTGGCTGGGCATGCCTGACCGAAAACGTGGAGATTGCCCAAAGGGCATGGGATGGGGAGAGCAAGGTGACGAAATCAACACTTATCATATATACATATATACTGACTAACTGACGAACACATCCAATGTGCAACATGGAAGTGGCAAAATGTTTTGTTGGAAAGATACTTTCCTCTACAAACAGGCGGTGTTCAACTTCGATGTGAGTGAGTCAGAGTATACTGAGTATAGACTTGAGATGACAGGTATATAATGGAACCGGGGTGGTGCCACTGTGACAGCAAAAGCCCCGGGAGCATCTTCGTTCAGTAGAGTCTTCAGCATTCGTCAAGTGGTTGTTGTAGCGGTAGGTTTGTCTGGCTTGGTGATGCAGTATCTTGTGAAGCGCAATTGTGCCCTGGTAGGTTGGAAAAGCAGGTTAGGTGGCATGTCTTCATGGCCAGGTAGTAGTTGTACAGAAAAAAAAAAAGACGCGAAAGGCTCAAATATCATATCTATCACAGGTGAACTTGCGTCTCACCAAAGTGTGGCAAACTCCGCATGTCCCAGACTAAACAGGCCACCTCCGACCGCCTGTTGAGCAGCACAACACACGTCTTTCCACTCGAAATGGTCATCATCCAATTGATTCACATGGAACTAGACGTCGAGGGTCGAGAGAAGACGTTGGCGTCCGATTTCCTCATATCGCCCAACACGTCACCACGGGAAAAATGCTGTCACAGTTGAGGATGTTTAAATAGGAGAACCTCCCAACCAATGGCTTTTGATCTCTTTTCTTCCAGAAACCTTGTTGCCTGCAAGGTCTCCCTGTTCTTTTTTTTCAGTGTCCACCTAGCTCTCACCCAGCTCTCACCCACCCATCTCCACCTGGGCGCATCATCGGCATCATGGGGGGGCCGCATCATGCCCATGGGTCCCATAGGTCCCATGGCGCCCATGGGTCCCTGGCGAGACGCAGCGCGTCGCGGGTGATGCGAGGGGTGCAGGAGAGGCGGGGCATCGTTCGAGGCATCAATTAGGGCACCACAAGAGGCGCCAGGTCGAGGTGTTTCGGAAGACCAAATAGGCGCAAGGAGCACTGGCCGCTGGGCTCCAGTGTCAAACAGGAGTCGTTTTCGAAGATGCATCAAAATCCACGTGCGCGCACGTGGAGAAAGCAGATGCGTCAGTGACCCTAAAACCTCACAACACCCTCAAGACTGGCCGGGCAGGACCATAGGCATAGGCATCTGCATACCACCCTTGCCCATGGCACCACCCCTCAGCTTGGACAGTTTCTCCTCCTATCGGGCCTAGACACGAAATGACACGAACGTCGCGGTGTCACTGGCGTCGAACGTCGCGGCTGGTCGAACCTCTAAACCCTGGAAAACATGGAACATCCATGAACATCCCAGAAATGCAGAGAATACCGTGGCAGAGGTGGGGGATGCTCGTCGATCTGTGACTGTTCATCGCAGATCGGATGTTGCTCGGAAAGACGGGCTGGAAAAGGCTCAAGAGAGACACGCAGTCTTCGCTGGGGGAGTGCTGAAGGTCTCTAAACGTCTAAACGTGAAGCCAACATTGGCTTGGAACGTCGGCCCACCCAGAAGCCGTGACTGGCCCTCATTCACGGCCACTCGGGGCCCCCCCTTGTTCGAAGCCAAGCGTGTCATGATAGCTTCATGCAGCTGGCGTTTGGAGAAAAAGGTCCCCGTGGCGTCACCGGGTGCGGCCAAGTGACATGTTCATGTTCGGCATACCTTTGCCCATTGCGCCCATGCCTCAAAGGGTGCGATCCATGCGAAGTCATATGAAGTCCATGCTCCGACTGCTGGAGTATTGGAATGATCTGAAAAACAGCAGATCAAATTGAGATGCTCAACTCATCCGCAGTAAATCTACTTGCGGATGGCTGAAGGTGTTAGAGGAAGGAATCCCGATAGATGACCAGGTTAGAAAATACCCCACAATATGCACTGTTTTGTATGCCAAAGCATGCAGCATGTGTTCACTCAAAACAAGGAGTCCATGGCTTCGCCGCAGTCGTCACCCAATTGTCCAAGAACCCGGATAGCTTGCCATGCCTGGTAGGCAGTACTTTTCATTGTGTGGAGACCTTTCGAAGATCCCCCAATTTGTTTTGACCCATCGTTCATGTGCATCGTCTTTTTGCAGGGTGGCTTCTATCTTCATTCATGTTGCTATGCTATGGCTTCTATCTTCCGGGAAGTTGGAAGCAAGGATTATCCTAATTGAAAAGTTGGGTGCAAGGTAGGTCGTTGGACCTGAACCGCATGAGTAGTATGTTACTGCTCAGTTCAGACTGCAGAAGTGCTACGGACTCAGGTTATGAACTCTCATACAAGAGAAAAAGCGTCCGATCCTCGCGAGGACCATTGATCGCAAACTTCCAGCCGGTTACCAATGAAGGCCTGTCTTCTAATGAGAGAGGGGCCTAGGCTTGGGGCCTTCTCTTGACTCATCTCTGGTGCTAAGTGCGGCAAAACTGATGCATTCCACTAAAAACACTCTGCTTGAATGGCAGGATGAACCAATGCAGAGGTCATCAGGAATCACATGACACAGCTTGGAGTCACCTGAATCTATTAACTGAGGACTAAACGGCCACTGAGGGACCGAGCGCCGAAACAACGCCGAAACAAGGCAATGGTTTCATGGCTTGAAAAATGCAGGAGGATCCCGGACAAGTCAAGTTCAAGCCTTTTATTTGGGTCAAGCATTGGAATGAGATACTTAACACCACTATACCTGTACCACCGTCCGCAAACTGCCACCCAACAAGAAAGACACCCGGCTGAGTGCAGTGCCCATCATCTGAGGGTTCATCGGCATGTTGGGCATACCGCCCTTGCCCTTCTGGCCCATCCTGGGGGTCCGGTAACTCGGCTTTGCCCAAAAGAATAACTGCTCCCCTAGTGGCCTTGAATCGTAGATCCACAGATAAGAAGCTGCATTCGATATGTTTTCATGTGTACCTAGGGGTTGCTTTGGACTATTTATCCTCAGGGGCCTTGTGTAGTCATGTGGAAGCCATCGAGTAGAGGTGGTGCACCACTTGGAAGGATGTGGCAACAAATGTTCAGATTCCAAAAGTATTGTGTGTTGTTGGTTTTTTGGAGGGACCATTGTTTTGAGAAGGCAAGACATATATATATATATATGTATAGCACGTTTCTTTTGGTAGGGACATGAACTTTTTGGGCTGCCTGTGATAGTGCTCTGGGGGCAGAAACATTGTAGCGCAAACACATTTTTGTACAGGCAGGTCAATGTTCTGAGGGCCATGTTCAAGTATTTCAGTGTTCTTTTGGATGATAACTTGTCAATACCTATGTTGTTCTTTTGCTTGGTGTGGCTGCACAGTCTTTGCTGGCACAGAAGGTTTGTTTAAACAAACTCATTGGAGGATTAGGAAATCCCACCAGCATAGCTATTGAATGACCTTCCACACTTGGCTTTGCTGGCCTTGTTTCACGACCTAATAGTCAATGGATTTGACTGGCAACATAAAACTTCATATCGCATGAGGCTGGGGAATGGGTGGGCGGGTGGGTGGCTGGGTGAGGATTGATTTCTGTACAGTCCTTAGTCCTTAGGAACGTTGGAACTTGTTTTCCAAGCGAACGAAGCTTCCACAGATCCGATGGATTGATCCCGATGTTTGTGATTCGACGCTTGTCGACATTGTTCGTTTCAAGTTTCAAGTTCTTTGTGAGGGATTCGCCGACGGGCTTCAAACAAGAGTCCATGCACTCATGTAGCAAACCAAATATGAGGGTCAACCACGCAGCAAAAAAGGACGGTGGCTGAAAATGGCGGATACCACATGAGGTGTACCGGGGGTCCCATGAAACACACATGCTGATTGCGTGATATGAAGGCTGTGCTCCCTTGTGGTACAAGACCAACCTACCTGCCGACGTACGTCGCGCGAGTGGGCGCTTGGTGGGAGCAAATCCGAGGAGAACACGCCACACAAAAAACCCTCAGTTGAGAGCTCCTCTTGGAAAACAGCCCCAAGTTCGGATTACATCCAAAAGCACCATGTTCCCTGCATCTCCAGGCCACATCATGCCAGCGTTCTGGCCCTGCATCATGCCCTTGCCCATGCCGCCCATGCCCATCATGGGCGGCTGCATACCACCTTAAGATGGCCGGGGGTTCCAGAGCATGGGTCTTCTCCCAACTCGTTGAGCGAAGGTGACCAACCCCAGACCATCCATGGGACTGGAATAGTTACCTACATTGGGATTTTAAACGGGTGGATGTATGTAACTATTCCGTCTGGATAGTCTGGGAACCAGGGAACCCTCCAAGGGGCACATGATGGCACCTTGGATTCGTGATCCTGCGCTAAATCTCTGCATACACTACAGAGATTAAGCCCCACAGTTGGATGGCAAAACCTCGCCATAGGGGGAGGGGTGATCAATCAACCGTACGTTGTTCATATGGATCATATTAATTTATGAATCATATGGATTCACTGAGGGCAATGTCCAAGGTCCAAAGCCAGTCACACACCTAGCAGGGCCGGAGAATGTGGCTTGAGGGTCAGTTCGTTCGTTCTGAAGTGCATTTGGCGGTCATAGTCGGGGGAGTGGTCAAGAGGAGGTAGACATCGTTCAAAAAGGATTTTGCAAATGATTTGTCTGCATATTTCGTTGTTTGTCCATCTTCAATTGGTACCCTCTGGGTGTTGTCCATTCGGGCTGTAAACATCTGGCCTCCCTTGGTATTACAGACGGTCGAGCAGCTCCTCGTCCCAAGGGCTCTAATTCTTCACCAATCTTCACGAATCTTTCCACATTAGCCCTGAACCCTGACAACTTCGAAGAGCTTCCAGTTTTCTTTCATCCTACCTCTCCTTCCAAAGCCATAGAGAACCAGGAGTCCAGTGCTTGTTGGGCTTCGAAAACACCGGCCTTTTCCGCGTTCGACACACCTGGCCAGACCAACCGTTTAGCAATCGGCCTCCAACCCAATAGCGATGGCCTCCAACCTAGTAGCGATGGCCCCAACGTGTCGGCACTGAGGCACCGGGCCTCCCATCCCTCCCATGGGATTTCCATACATCCCCATACCGCCCTTGCCCTTGCCCTTGCCCTTCCCCACGCCGGCGGGGGAGTATCGCTGGCCTCGGTGGAAAGAAGAAGACGCGCAGGTCACGCGCAAGTTTGAAGAAGTTGGCATGGTCTGGCAAGGATACAGCGTGTAATGTTGACATTACATGAAGCAAACATGGAAATCAAGTAGAAAAGATGGTCCATTGCAGAGATGCCCGCTGAAGACAGGTCATGTTTGTTGCTTCTGCTGATGGGTGTCTACAGTCAAAGGGGTTTCACAGACTTTGTCCAAGGGATGTCCAAAAAACCGCCTAAAAGCCACTTTAGCCGCTTGCGGCGGCCATGCGCCATTTGAAACAAAAACATGGAGTAAACTAGATGAGAGCATTTCAACCAGCTTGCTGACCACCTACGCTCAAGAATGTACCTTGTACGTATTATACGTACATCTCAAATTAGCAAGAACCGTGGATTGCTCTGAGCGGAACTGGAGGCCCAACACCGAAAATCCAAAACCATTGCTATGAAAAAAGAAAGAACGGATGCCCAAAACCGGAGAAAAAAAGCACATTGGATTCCAAAGGTTCTGCCCCAAAACCGCCCACCTCCCTCCATGACCCCGATTGAACGAAAAAACCGCTTCGAGCCACGGAGGCGCTCCGCGCGCACATCCCGATTCTCGGCCAGGCCCACATAGAGCGGCTTTCCCTTGACCACCTCCGGTCGAGCAAGTGCAGTTGTCGGTGGGCAATTGTGGCCAAGGAGAAGGGCCCGGTGGTCTAATTCAGTCAAAAGAATGCTTGGTATAATTCATGTCATCGTGATTGAAGGTCTGTTACAGTAAGAAAGAATGAAGATGTTAAGTTTACATAAATCCAATATAACACAATTGTTCCATGTGTCTTCTCTTGAACTCAACCCACCTCTAAAGCTATAATAGCATTATATAGCTCTTGATTCAAACCACCCTGCTCATCCCAAAACCTCTTCGTTCCGCCCGGCAGGTGCCTCGAAAAAGACCCCCCCCCCATCTCCGCCGGACGCGGCGCAGAGGAAACCGCGGGCCTTGAGATGCATCTCGGTGACGGCCTTCGTGGCTTCATCGGGGCTGCTGAAGCACACGAAGCCAAAGCCCTGGCGGAAGAGGTGGTCCAAAGTGTCCGACATGAGGTGGTCCAAGCACGGGCAAAAGAAGTTGGGGATCGTTGGAGGGTACGTTTTGGGCAGGGATCGTGCGAAGAGCTTTCGCCACCGGCAGAGTTGGATGTGGGTGGCATGGGAGTATATGTTGGGATGTGAAGAAAGCTAGAAGAGAAGCTCCAATGCTACGAAGGGTTTTGTCCGTTTTGTCCTGCAGGTCGTTTCTTTTTCGATTTCGGATTTGGAGTTGTCAAGCGATTCAATTCTCAAAAGCATGGGCCTTCTTGGTTCTTTCAAGTCCACAACATTATTGAAGGGGGGAGTGAGTGGAAACATGTTGTTAGAACTACATCTGTGGGCCAACCCAACTTGTGATAGTTACACTTGGATTTGCTGTCCAGGAAGCGGCCTAAGAAGTTTCAGCATCTTCCCCAGGAACCTGGGGAGGTCGCCAGAAGTTCAGGAAAATGCCAAGAAAACCCAAATCCACAAAATCCAGGTACATCGACATGTGACTCATAGGACATATAGAAGGCATATGGTCTGAGAGAGTTGTTGATGGCATCGGTCCCCAAAGCATCGGTCGACCGCCGTCTGACCTACGTCCCACATGGGAGCACCCACCCGCATCGGTGGCCGTGGGCGGTGCCCACCGCCGCGCGCCTTGCATTTGCCGCTGGGCTCCTGAAGTGTCCAACTGCTGAAAGAATGGAAAAGCACCAACTGGTGCTCCTGGGGGCTCCTGGCACTACTAGTTTGCTAGGGGATGGGTGTTCGGACAGAACACCTGTCAACCCTTTGGGACCCGAACAGTCGATTGGTGTTGTCTTGAAACAGGTGCCGGAAAGCCTGGTCTTATCTACCTCATCCACCAGTGATCAAATGCCATTCAGCTGTCTGTGGCTCTTCAGAGCCCCACACTTCAGCTTCCACATGAAACATGCTTTCAGGGAAGACCATCTTTGTCCCGATAATTCCAACCTTCCACGAGCCAAACAAAATAGTCTTTGGACTTCTAGGGTATTTATATATATATATACATAGAAACGAGAAAAACATAGAAAAACAAGAGATTCCTTTTACATCTATTTATACTGTATATATATTATATGTAATTACTAGAGAGAGAGAGAGAGGGATTCCTTTACAAGCAATGTGTCGTACCCATGCTCGTCCCATGGTACCAAGTCGTCGGCGGGGCGTGCTCCGTCACCGTCCCCGTGAGCTTTTCCCGGCCCACTCGCGGCTGCGACGCAGCATGGAATGGTCAACTGATGGATGATATAACGACCTGGGCCTGGGTAGGGCCTGGGTAGGGCCGTCCATCCTGTTTTGGGAGAATCAAGACATCGATGGCGGGTCCCGAACCGACTCTGCACGATTTGCAACCAGTCCGAAGGCACCATGTCAATCCTGCCAGTCACCATGGTGAAGGTGATTGCTTTTGCTCTCGTGGCCAAGCAGAGACCCAAAAAGGTCCCAACGCCTCGAATTGGAACTGTGGACCTGAACCCAAAATTCGCACCAACGACGCACCGCACCCAGTCGACCTCGGCAAGCGCAAGCGCAAGCAAGCGCAAGCAAGCGCAAGCAATGCGGAACCGACCCGCAGAGGACCCGTCCTTCATGGCACAGACCGAGGTGATGTTTCCGAAGGACTCAAAGAGCCCGCGCAAGGAGTCGTCGTCCGTCTGTTCGTCCTCGGAGCGAGCGCGAAGACCCGCTGGGCGGGTCTAAATGGACTCTCAAAGCGTCAAAGAGACAACCGGTGCACCAACCGGTGTCTTGGTGAAGCATGGTAAAACCATGGTAAAACCTTGGTAAAACCATGGTAAACCCATGCACCAAAACCGTCTTCACTGTGAGCCATGAAAGCAGTGCGACCATCGCCCCAAGTCTAGACAGACTTCTTAAGACCAAGACAGCACATTCAGGATCTTCTGACCATCCCAATGACCAGAAAGCGTTCTTCCGCTAAACCCGACGGCTGACGCCTCGAAATCTTGCTTTTTCGAGTCGATTTCATAAAGCGGCTCGTCAGCCCTCTGCTACGGGTGGTGCAGCTGTTTTGATACCACCACCTTGTTATTTTCTCCTGCACTCAACGCTTAAGACAGGAAAAATAATGAAAAAGGGTGTGCAAGGCATTGAACCCTGGACATGCTGCGCATGACATGCTGATCCTATGAGGGCACCCTTCTTGGACTGCGGATCGTCGCGCGGAGTGTCTCTGGTGCAGGGGATCGTCTCAACATGAAGTAGCGTATCTGTGAGCACGGCCAGAAATCATCGGAAGTCGATTCCCAGTTGGACACCTCATCCACCTACTAATCAATGATGGACATATTGCAGCGCATGCTGGCTAGACAGCGAGAGCTACAGCGAGAGCTTCTCACTTGTCATGGGTAAGGAAGCTGCTGCCACATGAATGCAAACAGTGAAATCTCGCACGCAAAGCTCACGCAAGTTGCTTGGCAAGGTCAAACCTTCCAAGCTCTGGTTACAACCCGCATGTGGTGAGGCGATGTGTGGGACACATCCAAGTCATAGCCATAGCTCTTCAGGTGCTTCACCCACTTGGTAGAAAGCTGCACGCAGCTGCATGCAGCGGACGGTGGGTTTTCTTGGATGATTTTCTTGAACCTTCCGTAGCTGGCTTTGAGATCCTTGAAACATCTGGGAACTGAAACACTCTGCAAGCCATTCAGGCGCCAGGAAAAGCAAGTGCCAAACACCAATCTCCAAAATGATATGACAATCCCTTCAACACCATTGCTGGGCTCCTCTCCTTCCCATACGCATGGCAAACACTCCAACGAATCAACACATCACATGGTTAGGTGGATGGCCTCCCCCCCTAACAGGAGTACATCGTCTTCCTTTCGGGACCGATGCCATCCACGAAACCATGATCCATGGAAAAGTGTTCGTCAGAGTGTATATGGCCCTATACTATGAGATCTGCCAAGGCTCCAAGTTCTTGATGTACAGGTTCACTCCCTGACTTCGGCCAGCGGGTTCCCTGGCTGGCATCTTCTCCTGGCTCACGTCCACATGTGGTAGCAACTGCAACAGCTGGGATCTCTCTCTGTGGGTCGAAACCAGGACACCGGAAGGTTAAAACTCATGGTGTAGAGTGTAGGGGCTCGAGGTTTTGACCTATCCCCATCTGCTTCAGAGAATTCATTTCCAAGAAGAAGACTCATGGAACTGGTCTGTCAGTCTGTCAGTGTTCCAATCGCAGAAATATTCAGGGTGCCCATGTGACAGATCGAGGGTGTCAGCATCTCCAAAAGGTCAACCAGGAAAACCAAATCTGACGTCTCTCTACGGCAGCTGGAAGACCCAGAAATCTTCTAGTGACACTTGAAAACATGGTCTAACTACTCACCTTTGCTCAAAAACTGCTCTTCTTGAGACACTCACCTACCCTCCAACCCTCCGGTCGCGCCCGGCGACGGAACGCTGCAGAACTGCGGCCTTCAGCTCCAGAGCGCGCTCCGTCTTACTCTGCGCGCGGTTCACATAGAGGAGGTAGCCTGGGTGGGGAGGGTACTCAGGCAGCCCAACGTCTCGATTAAGCCCAACGTCTCGCTGGCAGCCTGGGGGGTAGTGCTGGACAGAGATCACAAGGGACCCATACGCATCGATGAAAGGCTCTTTCAATCAAAATTGATTGTGTTTGAAGAACACATTCCAAACCACAATATCACGACCTAAACACATGTCTTCATGTGTCGCTGCGTCAAACAAAGAACAGAACTCCCTGCCGAGAACCAACTCCCCCCCAAGATCGGTCGTTGAGGCCAACTCATTGAATCAGCTTTGTTGCGTCGTTCGTTGCGCCGTCCCACGGGGTGCCATCGCTGGCTGCCGTTGTCGCGTCGCGTCGCATCAGCTCAGACGCATGGCTCTTCGTGGCTGGCTTGGGGCTTGGGGGGTCGGGTCTTGTTCAAGCAGAAAGCGAAAGAAGCGAACGCCGTTCGGGTCTTGTTGGCTGCTAGGCACTGCAAGCGGCCAGGCTTTTTGCGGAGAATTGATGTGGAAGTTCTTTCGAGATTGCCACCAACCAGCTCGAAAAAAAGGGCCGGTCAATGGTGAATTGCAATACCACCCCATCCCCATCCCCCTTTGAAGTTTCCAAAAGGAGAACAAGCAGAGACGTAGCAGCCAGCCAAATCCTTCCTCCCAAAGTCCAAGAAACTCTTTTCAGCGTTGTCTTTCTCCTCTTCCTCTTTCTCCTCAGAAGCCGTTGGTGGTCGAGAAATCGTGGGATCAATGGACGTGCCCGGGAAGAAGAAACTCGCCCAGCCAGCTGCAGGAACGGCTTCCAACGCGAACCCAACGAACGGGTTCTTGGAGATCTCTGGCAGCTTGGCGAACGAAGAAGAGAATGGGCTTTAAGAGTCGAGGATAGATATGAAAGAGCAATATTGGGATGGTTTGGGGGGGTCAATGTAGGCATATATGGCATACATGGAGTGTATGGGATATGAAAGGAATGAAATAAACAGATCAACAAAGCAAATCCTGACAGTCCCTCTTCCAAGGTGCTCACACTGCTGTGGGGAGTACTTAAAGCACGAGCCGAATTAAATGGATGTCTTTCTGTTCTCATGTCTGACTCCACAAAGAGGGAGATCGGTATCATCCCCCACTTGGTGCCAAGAACATGGTCTCGCACTGGTCCACATCTCGTCACGTTTTCACCCCATCGGGGCAGTCCTTGTCGGCCTCCTTTTGCTCCTCCGTGCGGAAGTCCTTCTGATGCATCTCATCAATGGCCTCGCCAGCTTCCCAGAGCGAAAGAGAGGGTCGGTCGTCACGCGGCACTTCAAAGCAGACCTCCTGTCTTCGCAAATAGACTAGAACCATCAACTCGGGCTCCCATCATAGGCTGCAAGGGTTCACCAACACACAGTACACACATGACACACATGACACGTCATCCTTCTTCCATTTTCTCCAACCTCTCCTGCGTTTGATGTTCTCAACCTGATCCTCAATAGAAAAGAAGTCCTGTGGCTTCAACTCCAGCGTCCCCCAAGCGGTCTCAGAGCCGTCTCAGACCTTCTTCGCTTCCTCGTGGGTCTCGAAGTTCAAGAAGGCGAACTTGCGGCCCTGATGGTTTCAACGAGGTGCAAGTTCGAGGGCTTGGAGATCTTTGGATTGAATTTGTAGATGTGTTCTCTGTTTCTGGGAAGTGTTTGCTTAAACATTGCCCTTGTCTTGCTCCTTTCTATGTCATTGCGTTGGGTAAAAGTCCCAAACGGTCTGGGCAGAGAAAAACATTTCAAAAAAAAGAACTTACCAAACATAGACCGACTTTAAGTATTGTTTAAAAAGATATATATGATATATATGATATGATATGATATGATATGATATGATATATATATATATATGTCCGTCCTAGTTCGGTGCAACTGGGAACCCCCCACCTTCCTTGGACCGGACCCCCACCATCCGCCGGTGCCGTCGCGGAAACGGTGCCTTGTTGTCGGCGGAGAGGAACGCGGAGGTGATCTGCAGCGCGAGTGAAACCGTGAGTGAGACCGGACCCTCCGTTGAGTTGAGGAAGGTCGACCAACAAATCATCTGGACCTTCCAACAGGTCTCTGGAGACGACGTTGACGTTGTGTCCTTTGGCGTCACGAACCCAACCCAACTGGCGAGATGAAAATTTGGAAGGCCCCAGCTAGCTACCCACAGTTCAAAGGAATCCCAAGGTAACCTGGCTCAAACCTCAAAAAATACACCCCGGAAGACTAACATGGACCCTGAAAACCACTGGTTGGTAGAGGAAAACACTCTTCCAGGGGACCATTGTCAGGGTCTATGTTAGTTTTCGGGAGTGTAGATGGCTTCTGGCGCAAAAACATCAGATGTGCAAAAAGATGATTGAGACGACCAGTTTCGCGCTGCGCAGGGCGTCCTGTTTTGACCATCCCTCAGTTGACTTGGGTAGGATGGATATCGGATACAGCGAAAAATGTTAATTTTTAAGATTGCTCAAATAGTGCATAGTGAGTGCAATGGCTGCAATGGCCGACCCGGAAAACGCTCCGAAGCTTCCGAAAGTTCCCCATCCTTCTCTTCCTGGAGCACCGAACATGTCACGCAGGTGGTGTGCATCGTTCCATTTGCACTGACCCGGAAAATCCTCTGGCCTTGCCGCACTTGCCAAACTCGGTCTTGACTTTCTCCTCATCCCAATCAGTAGGGAAGTTCTTGATATACACCTGAGCAACGAACTTTTGTGAGTTTTTCCCTTCAATCTTGGTGAATCGAGGACTATTGACTATTGTAGGAGATGGTGGAGTTCCCTGGTACACCAAGCAGTCAAAGAGCACAGAGAGTCAGAATCTGCTTGCTTGTGGGCCAGGGCATTCTCAACTACATCGTTGATGCTCTGAGTGGATCAAATGGTGCCACTCTCTTCACAAGAGCATGTACTGATTTAAGTGTTGGTTTGATGGAAACCATGCACCACCCCCCCACCTACAAGGCTGGAAGTGCAAGTTACGGCGTTCGCTGTGGATGATTGCGGCTGTGGCGGGTGAAGGACTCGACGAAACTCACCCAACGAAACCCGATGCTTTCGACCCCTGCCCAGCCTCAGTAACGGATGTCAGCCAGTCTTTTGGTCCAAGCGATGCCCATGAACGTAACCAAAATACAATATACCTGGACCACACTGGACCATCCTGCCTGGGTGTCCTGGCTGGAGATCCCGGATAGTAGTCCAACCAGGACACCCAAACATTGCATAACTAGCAAGGGGTTGGGGGAACTCCCGTGGTTGCTCTGAGTTCCGGCTCCCTGTTTCATGAGATCTTGGCCACCGGCTGGCTCACGTCTCCCTCCTCCTGTCCTCTGGCCACGCTCGCGAACCCTGTGTCCTCCTCTTGTCCTCCTGGCTCACTCCCTGAGCCCCCTGCGTTCGTGAAGGTGTTCATGGTGGGCTTGTCACCTCAAACCGCGCTTCGACGCACGTTGTGGGTGACTTGTTTTCGGCTCGATCGCTGATGCCCGGTCGAACTGTTTTCGGCTCGATCTCCGGTTCTCAGATGAGAAAACTGGGTAGAACATGGGTCGAAACTGGACCCAAGTCTGACTTGGCCAACAACGAAAGGGCTGCTTTGCCAGGCTACCAACCACTCCATAAAATACTAAGGAGTAGTTTGCTACATTGACCCCTGAAATGACCCCAATGTTTGTAAGTATTCCGTCAAGTGTTGAGCTGGGGATTGCTTGTAAAATATTTGTGGATGATGTTGCGTTGTGTTTTCTGGCCAGCGGTTGATTTGGAAAACTTCAAATTGCTACAGCCGCATCAAAGAAAGGGACGCGGGAGCTCAGATTCTACGTTTGAGCTAGAGTGTCACCAGTAGGGCGACGGTGAACCTTCGTGTTTGGATTGCCATTTGCCGATATTTGCTGTAATATTACAGGAACAAGGTCAGTATTGCAGGAACAAGGCGGATCAAACTAATAGGGATGGGGTCCTATACTTCATGGCTTGACATTTATGTGGACTCTTGATGATACAATGTGGACTCTCATGACTCACGACAATTAAGGCCTACTTTTGGCTTCTCTACGGCATCACTGCCGCGTTTCCCCTTAGATCTCTTCACAGTCCCTTCAAGGGACGTTTCAAGGTGGAAGTTGCTGTGGTTTTTGCAAGGATCGCATGCGAGAACAGCTAATTACAGCTTTCCCAGGCTTTTTTGGGAATTGGAGGGCCACATCCTACCACATCCTGCCATCTCCTAGCACTTGGTCAGAGTCCTCCAGGGACATGGACTATATAAAACAACCATCATTCCATCTGAACCCTAATTAGCCTTCAAAGACCGGCCTTTTATATTGGTCCGGCTTTGCGTCAAATCCTTGGTAAACCAAATGGCTCTTTGGTCAATACCATTGAAATCCATTGAATCAATGGCTGTTGGAATCCGGGTGACCGGGTGAATGGACCTTCCAGCGACCGGGCGACCGGTCACCCGAGGCGGTCGACGCAGTCGCAGGTCCGTCCGTCTCGTGTCAGTCGTTCCCAAAACTCGTTCCAAATGGCTTCGCCGTTGGTTCACACCGTTGTCGCAAGGGCCTAGGAGTCCAACAGCCATTGATTCAATAGTATTGACCAAAGAACCATTGCTTGACCAAGGATTTTACACCACAAAGCCAGGCCAAGCATCTTTTTTTTCAAACGCTCGAACTGAAGGCGAAACCCAAAAAGCCGGCCATGCACCCTGCCGTCTTCCTCCCCCTTCGTCTTCCTCCACGGGTCGCCCGCCCGCGTCCGTCTCTCCGTTGGCGCCCCAGGAACGCTCGGAACGCTTCACGAAGTGACCCACGCCCACCTGCAGGCGCCGGCGGTGCGCAGGATGGTCCTCCCTTCGTCATCCGGGAGAGCGAAGGGAAGTGGGAAAGAGAAGAAACGCTTGGGAAGCCCAAAGCATGTTGGAGGGAGGAAGTCAGGGAGCATGTCCATCTTGTCCGGTTTCAGGCGGATGTTTTAGGATCTTGATTCAATTGAAAGGATCCTCCAAGGGCAGTTTGCTTTCCAGCATTTGAAGAAGCTGTGGAATTCTGTACACTGAAAGCGATTTCGCGTGGGTTGGCGATGAAGACTCCAAGAAATTGCTTGAGAAATGCACATCCAAATCTGACAGATTCGTGTTTTTCAGCCCCTTAGCGTCTCCATGCATGCCAACTTAGCGTCTCCAACAAGAAACTGGGCGTCTCCAACGACCCAGACAGCTTGACAGCCAGCGGATCAGGCCCTGTCGCCCGCATCGTGGGTTTTCTCCAAGCACCCCCACCGTCTTCTCGCCGATCTGCATGCCATCCACCTTCTCGATGGCCTCCAACGAATGACTGTCTACAAATAGATGTCCTACCATTGCAGGTTCCAAAAAAACGGCGAGTTACATGGTTGTTCTTACCATTTACATGGACCTTCATCATGTGCAGTGATACAACTCCCAAGGACACCTGGAGAATTCCAGATGTCGTCGCCCAGTCCATCCCCTTCCTCCACAACGAGGCTTGTCGGTCGCCAAAAAGACCCCTGACGTCTGCCTCATTTCGGGTCTTAGTCTTTGGAATCTAGATCACGGGAATCCTCCGGTGGTCTGGGTGGTTCGGTCGTGGTGGTTCAGTGGATTCAGTGGGTGGAAACGATTGACCAACCCGCTGGCAGAGCTCATCCATTGTCCCAATCTGATGGATCTCCAAGAAATTTAGGTACTATATGAATCCTGTGGTCTAGGTCTTTCTACTTGTGACAGTTGCTTATATAACTCAATTATCAGAACAGAAACTCCTTTGGCCTGGCTGTGCTTCGCCCCGCCTGCTTCGCGGCCTCTTCGGTCTCGTAGTGGACCTCGTTTCGTGACCGACGCTACGTTTGTACTACAAGGCTGTGGGTGATGGCACCACCCGGAGCCACGAACTCCACCGGGGTGGGTTGACTTGCCCAGGTCGTCTGTTCATTTGGGGTTCAGAAAAACCCGGGTCCCCGCTGACCCACAGCCACAGTTTGTGGCCAGTTCTGAGGCCACAGCTCACCACCACGGTCACTGGTGCTCGACGGCACGACCCGCTGTCAGAGTCAACGACGTTCGGTCGCGCGGTCGGTCGCGCGTTCGTGGCCCACGGTGTTTGGGCACCCTGGCACCCCCCACCCTGTTCCCCTGGTTCGGTATGAGGGATGGGGAAAAGGCTCATCCGATTATGTTTAGTGGTCCAAGCCGTCCACATCACCATTCTGAAGGAGTCAGAGTGTGTTTTAGCGAACTGTCCCACCTGTTTCTGATTTCGCGGGGTGTCCCAATCACTGCAGGTGATCCGCCTACTGATAAAAACTTCACCGGCAGAATGTCTTGCCGATCTGATCGGGCTGCCTCGCAAGAAAACGTCGGGGAAACGGCCGTCTATGACATCAGTTCATTGATGAACTCAGTGATGTTTTGTGGCATCTGAAATGGAAAGGAAAAGAAAACGGAAAGTTAAAAATGAAAGGGAAAAGGAAAGGGAAAGAGAAAGGAAAAGGGAAGGGAAGGAAAGAAAAGGAAGGAATAAGGAAGGGATAAGAAGGGATAAGGGAGGGATAAGGCAGGGATAACGAAAGGGATAAGGGAAGGGATAGGATAAGAAAGGGATAGGGCAAGGGATAGGCATAGGGATAGGCATAGCGATAGGGATAGGGAAAGGGATGGGCATAGGGAAAGCGAAAGGGAAAGAAACGTCTTCATCAGACATGAAAATTCCACCAAGCACACTCAGCTGGTCGTCGTGTTGGAAGCAGTTTGTTCCACTTTTGCATGGTATAGATGCTTCTTTGTTCATTGTTAAGTCGTTGTCAACTCTTCATGGAAACCTATATATATATATGTAGAGATTGGGTCTATCCTATATATATATATGTAGAGATTGGGTCTATCCTATTACCTGTCCTGTAACAGTGGATGATGATGCTTAGGTACCAGGCCTTGTCCAAACATCGTGATTTGCTTGTGAAACCTGACTGTTACAGAACGGACAGACACCACTCGTGGTTAGTTGCCCTTCACGCCTTGTTACCGACCAATGAACAGGGCAACGACGATGGGACCCAACCGGCTAACCGCAGTGAAGAGATTACAGTTGATCAATGTCGAGCTCGGTTCCCATCCTGGCAGTGGAGCATGTCGAAACGTCACTTTCCGTGGCGGCCCAAGATACCGGAAACGTTGGATCCGCCCCAGAGGTGGGGCAGAACTGCTGCAGACTGGAGAACTCTTTGCCATTTTTTGCGCAACTTATGTTGGATGGTCGACCAAGAGCAAAGTTTTTCCTTCACTGAACTGGCTGTGGTATTTCACTACGAAGGGTTTAGGCTGGAAGGTGATAACACCATGCGGACATTTTATGATGTCTACAAGGCCATTCGTGAATGCATGCAGTATATGACCAAGATTGATGAGTGTGATGGCTTCCCAGGCGTGTTCGACACGGCTTTCCCACGCTCTTGCGGGCGTGTGTTACCACAAGGTTGCATTCGTGGTGCGATTCCGTATTTTGCAGATGAGGCCAAGCTACTTGTTGCCCGTCTTTTTGCGGCCGGTGCGGGTCGCACAATTGACTCATGGAGGCTTCCTTTGGCTGACTTTTGATCGTCTCACTTGCATGTTCGTTGTAGTTGTCTCTATCTGTGGTAGAGCAACACGCTCACCTCAGGTTTCACACCTGAGATTTCGAGCGCGAGAGATCGTATAGAGTTCTATTTTTTGGGGGGGGGGGGTGGGTGGTCCAATCCGCCCCTCCCCGGCCCCTCCCCTCTGAGGCCCCCAGGCGAAGCCATAGCCACGGGACTTCCCGTCAGGCCCTGTGGACACCTGCGTGTGGCGTCAGAAAGCAACCACCGCGTGGGTCGATGCGGGAACCTTCCAAAGGCCGGCAAACTAGGTGAAAGGATGGCACGAACGGTGAAACTATGTGAACAACACCTTTTTCTTGTGGGAGGTTTCTGGTGTCTCCATACTCCAGTCGGCACCAATCTGCAGGAAAAATGGGTCAAAACATGTCGGCGCCAAAGTGCATGGCGAAACCGGGAAAACTGGAAAGACTGATGTATGTATTCAAGAGTCGAGCGCCTGCTCTGAAACAACCAAGCAGCAGCAGCAGGTGAACGATTATTGTGATAAGGACGAAAACCCTTGCCCACAGGAAGAATGCCAACACGTTTCCAACACTACGAGTTCTGATGTGTCTCTGTTCCGTGGTAGTCTGACTCACCTCACCTAGAAGTAGACCCAGGTCTGCTCTGTGGGCCCAAAGGGAACCTCGAGCAGATAGAATCCTTGATCATCTTGATCCCCCCTGCCGCACTTCGCCTTCGCTTCGAGCGTTCCACCTTCACCTCCCCAATCTTCCGCCCTCACGACCTCGCCCACCCGGTCGCCCCCCACAGTCGCCTTGCAGGAGAGGATGTTGCCAAAGAGGCTGAAGGTGTCGTAGAGCGCTTTGTTATCCACGTTCCGGTCCAGGTTTCGGACCTCGAAAACGCCGCGCAGGAGCGCGAAAACGGCATAGCGAAAAAGTGTCTCCTCTCAAACAGACGTCAGTTTTGTTATATATAGTGTATAACACCCTATTTAGACCCCCACATCACCCCACTCATCTTTCAGGGTCAATACCCCGTGGGCCTGGGTCTTTTTCAATGCGGCATGCGTGTTCTGCCCGATAGGTCCCAGGTGCTGTCAAACAAAGATTTCCTTCACCGCTCTTGTAGCATGACTGAGTGCTCGCTTGCAGTGCCCCGAACAAGGTGTGAAACAGCAGCAACAAGCAGCCATCCAGCTAAGTAAATGCACTGCGCGCACATAAGATCAAAGCGGGATTGTGACACAGACAAGTTGCACTCTCTCTCCCTCTCTCTCTGGACGGATATATAGTCCATGTGCTCGTTTTTTTGTTTAATGCAACCAAGTCATTGAAACACAAGTCTTTACAAACAACATCCAACAACAGCCATTCGAATCATTTCAGGTAGGAAGGAGGATGCGAGGAAGGCATTGTTGTAGAAGAATGTGTTAAGCATCAGTGCGTCGTGGAAGAAGAGATTCAAGTAGAGCATCCCACGAAAAAGTGAGCTGCCAGATCGAACATGCGGGACTCCCAAGATTCTGCCACCCTGCACCAATTATGGTGCGCTTCCGTCCCTCTTCGAGAAAGCTCAGCAGTGCCCCAAATGCGAAGATTTCCTCCGAATCCAGAGGGAAACGCGGCACCACCTGGAGAAAGAAACATCAAGCCACGGGCTCGATGAGGCGCCCAAAAAACAGGGCCTCCTTCACCTACTTCAGCCGAAACGTCCCTGGGGTCCCGCACGAAGACGTTGCCGAGACCACCTGACGGGTGAGGCCGACGTACCGAAGACGGATCCAGACCAGTGGGCGTGAAGACCGGTGGGGATGGAGCGTTTAGACCTACCCCACCGGGCGAAAGCTCGGCCGAAGCAGGTCGACACCGGTCTCAAACGTTGGTCGACCTGCGGTACATCAGAGCCCCCTAAAGCTCCAAAAGTGCCGATGGCATAGGAAATCCATCGTACATCAAGAGGCTCTCAAACTGATCTCTTGCCACCCAGCAGGCGCCAAAAACAAGGAAACTGGGCACTGAGGCACAAGCTATGAGGTTCCCGAAATCAAAGCATCCCAAAGGCTGGAGGGAATCCACATGGGATAACGAGATCGAAGGGTCTTCGTGACTGGTGACTACCCTGACAACGCATGGATCTAATTTACCAATCCGATTATGGGATCCAATGGAATGATGATAATGGAAAAAAGCTGCACAGGTATTTCACCGGGCTTTGTTGGTGAAAAATCTCTTCCAAGCGCGGTTGGTGCCCCATGTACACTCCCGGAAACTGGACCCGAATGGGACCCGGAGTCCGGCTGTCTTCCTCTAGCTGTACCAGTGGTTTTCAGGGTCCATGTGACGTTTTCCACGGTGTAAGTGCCCCGCCCAAAGGCGTACTTCGTCGGTCGTTTCCAGTGCTGCGTCCAAGACGCCCTTGCGGAGGGTTGGATCACGCTGGCTCCACATGATGCGGCATGCTCGCCCCTCAGCACACCACTTCGCTGCGTGGCGAGCGTCGTGAGCGTCGTGGTCGAGGCACGGAAGAGGAAGCCAACAAAAAATCAGATGATTCATTGGACTGGAAGCGTTACACACACTTACACTTACACTTACACTGACACCGACACTTGCACTTACACTTACACACTTGCACACTTGCACACTTACACACACACACACACACACCAGCACCCTCCAACAGGTGCTTCCTGGTGACAACAGGTGCCCAGAAATCACCTGTTAGGGTCTCTAAACAGCCTGTTGGAGGGTCCTGGTA